TTTCAGGCACTGGTACTTGTAACTGCATTTTATTCAACATCTCATTGCAACAAAATCTTCTTCAGCTAAGTTGTTTCACTTACATTTTTCGGTCCGTGATAGAATTCCAAACTCTGTCATTAAAGGGAAAAAAAACTCCACCGTAAAATTAAAATAAAGTTCAAGTTTATTAGCCATTTGCAGTAAAAGACTACATTGGAAAAACAGTGCAAGAGCTCACATCCGTCAACATGCACACATAGAAAAATTCAAAGATTATAAGAAAATTTTTTAAAAAGTTAAAAATTAAAAACACTGAACACAGAACTCCTCATCTGCAACAGACAAAGTTTCACAGAACACATTACATTCCGTTACTTGACAAAAGTTAATGTGTATTATTCAAAGCCCTCAGAGCCTGTGGAAAGAAACTATTTAAATGACGAGACGTAGTACATTTGATAAAACGGTACCGTCTCCCTGAGGGAAGAAGCTCAAATACGTCTTTAGCAGGATGAGCTGGATCATTAATAACAGAGAAAGACTTGGAAAAATGTCTACACTTAAAAATGTCCTCCAAGGCTGGCAACTCAGAGCCTATTGTTTTACAAGCTGTGCGTAAAACCTTTGCCATCTTTGTTTTTCTGTTTTAATTTGCTGACAGGGCAATGAGTTCTGGGATACAGTCGGCCACATAGGATACTCAGATGCAGCCGACGTTTTCGGGGGTTTTGTCGGCTGCATGAGTAGGCACCAATGAATTGGGACAGCCTACAGCGTGGGGCAGTGACGTAAGCAGCCGACAAATATGCGACTGATGTCGGCTGCAACCCATGAATGGGTCACACAAACTTACGTCTTCTGTAGACTAGACCATCCCATTTCACAGTTATTTATACAGCCGACACGAGCGGCCTATGGCCCAACTGCAGCCAACATTGACCGCAGTCTACATGGGCTGCAACCCAAGAATTGAGACACAGCCATAGATTACATGCTTGGTATAAAATACAACAAGAAAATTATGATGACTATGACATCATTTTGAAAAGCTTTCATTTTGGCTGTCTACACAAAAACGCTGGGGGACCAGATCTTTGGGATGAACCAGTTCTTGCTGTAATGTTTTGGAGTTTGAAAGCCACTGGGATGTCATGTGAAGCTTCTCTTTGGAACTTCCTGGGATTTAATTTTAACCCAGGTGTCCTCAACATACCTGAACCAATGGCTCTGTGGTGTCCCTGAACTTTTCAAATAGCAAAGACTTTGAACTCCACAGACTGAAGTAGGGCTGCCACAAGCGATTATTTTTATAATCGATTAATCACCGATTATTTTTTCGATTAATCGACTAATCGGATCATAAAAATATACAGCTTATTGCTCCAGAATGCAGCTGCTATTATATAACCATGGTTATATTTTAGCTATATGCTAACTAAAAATAATTGCTGTG